TCCCATCCTTCTCCTTCTTCCCTTCTTTTTTTTCATTTCCGATCATACAAAGTTCTCCAGACATTATATATTCTTCGCCAAAACCGCTTCCGCCGCCCATGGTTCAGTCAGTGATATCGTGTTATTGTCTAATACATTTTAATAATGTGTGTACAATTTAGGAATGCACCGCGTGGGTTGCTTTCTTTGTTATGCGGTAGTACAGTAGTGTACGTAGTAGAGTGACGGCAGCAATCTAAGCCTAGCCTAGGGCCTAGATAGTATACGTTCTTGATCATTGTAATGAGAACTTCGGGTGACAGACGATTGGGCCCAACTGGTGTGGACGATCGGACCCAAGATAGCTTCAAATAAATTGTAGTCCAATAGTAGGCCACTGCCACCACCCCCACTCCTGATATCGTTCCAAACTACTGTAAAATGAAATTACTGTATACCTAGCTAGGACCTATGCCCTATTTTTTTAAAAGAAATTTGCTAAAAATATTACTGTAATTTGCCTGTCAAATTATATTACTGTACTAAAATCACTATTTTGGCCATAAAGACTCCCCCTGTATTTTTCATACAAATTTGACCCAACATATATATATATATAATATGTATATTATTTATATATATATGTATATATATTGTTTGTATGTTTATTTATTTATTTATTTATATTTTATTTATATATATATATATATATGTATATATATATATATACACACGTATATATATATATATATATACGTATACATATGTATATATACACGTGTATATATATATATATATATATATATACATAATATGTATATGTATATATATACGTATGTATATACACGTATATATATACATATAATATACATGCGTATATATATGTATGTACACGCGCGCGTGTATACATATATATATATATACATGTATACGTATATATTATACATATATATACGTGTATATATACATGTATACGTATATATATATGTGTATATATGTATATATATGTATGTATGTATATATATATACACGTATATATGTAAAGGCCTATATACTTTTTAAGTCGTGTATCATGCATAGGAACGTTGACGCTTGCAAGGCTCTGGTTAATATATTCTTATTCTCCACATTATAAGCTTTAAAATGATGTCATACTGAAACTGACTTACTATTGCCAGAGTAAAAGTTTCAATTTCTCTAATAAAATATACAATAATGCCACATTCTTATGCTAATTACTCTGTTTAACAATTAATTAGCAACAGTATGCTGGTTTTGGGATGGCTAGACTCATATACCTGGGTTGAGTTTGAAGGCTGAGCTTATACCCTGGGCAAGTACTAAATGATCAAAGACAAACAAATCAATATTTAATAACCTAAAGTGTGTTTATTACTTTAAATTTTGTACTTTATAGCTTGAATGAAGCACTATTAACCACACTCCTCAGTAAGTTTAAAATTCCCCAGAGCAAAGCTTTTTGTTTTTTTTAAAGTAAATTATGTCTAGAAAAAGAAATTTGAACTCTATGCAGAGTAAAATCAGAAAGACAGTAGGGTAGGACTGAGCAAATACATGTTAAAATCATTAATATTTTTAAGTGTTAAAAATATATAGTTTTGACCTCTAGCTACGTCAATTTCTGCCTGTTTCAAAATTTTTTCAATTTGAATGACTGACCAATCTATAAGCTAAATGTTATGCTAAAAGAGTTATGAGCATAAATGTTACCCCTTACCCCAAGAGCTGTTGTTGATTACAAATTTTTCGGATCATAAACATTGACAATAGTACATAATGCATTTTAATTTTTTTCTTGTTAACCTCAATTTTTGTATTCCATATGTTAATAACTACAAGAAATACATAATTTGTATCAAATACATCCAAAATTAGACATATGACACTGAAGTTTGATATTTTATGAAAAAATTTGCATTTTAGAAAAAGGTCGATAACCTTTTGACCTAGTGACATTAATAATTGTCGGATTAATTTTATTTAAATTGCATATGATTAAGAAACATATATGCTACACATTGCTACCAAAATAACATTGAGGGATTTTTAATTCACAGGTTATGGGCATAAAGGTTACCCCTCCCCCCCAAAAAAAGTATTGACCATAAAACACCAACGACCATTACAAATGATGCAAGTACATACAATGTATCCCTATATTTTTCTTGTCAACATCAATTTTTTCGTTTTATATGCCCGTAGGAACAAAGTGATACCAAGGAAGTTTAACTGTGTGGGGG